GAAATGGTAGATTCATAGGAAATTTATCATATTAAAGAATATAAAATTGCAATACCATAATAAAGAAAATGAATGTGTGACCTAAAATCAAGTTTATTCACGTCGCAAAAATAACTTTGGTTTAAAATAATTGTTCCAGGCAAGTGTTCAGCCAATGAGACGCAAGGGAAATGGAGCTTTGGGTGCGAAATGTGACTTCATTGGTTCATCAACAAATCTGGTAATTAAATTAAAAAACATATGTAAATAACATTAATTAAGTTTAAGAAATAGTACCAATTAGTTATACTCTACTTGTTACTTAGATAATGGTAACGTCTACGACTCTGATGTTGTTTGCGGGGAGATTCGGACTGGCACCATCAGCCAATAGGAAAGCGACAGCTGGACTTAAGCTTGAGGCACGTGACTCGGGTCTACAAACGGGTGACCCGGCCGGGTTTACACTCGCCGACACGTTGGCTTGTGGCACCGTCGGTCATATCATCGGCGTCGGAGTTGTGCTTGGGCTCAAGAACATCGGTGCTATTTGAAATTATTATATATCGCTCTCTCTCGCTCTTTTGTTTGTACTATTTGTAAAATTGTAGAATTTCGAAACAAAATTCTCAAGAACATGAGGGAGATCTAATGGATTTTACAAATCTTATGTTTATAATGTTGGTATCGCATTTTATTCTCTTTGATATAGTCCATAGGTAAGTGTCTTAATTTTTCTTCGAAGTTTGGAATTTGATAATTATTTTATTTTTGGGTGGAATTTTCGTATTATTATTTTTCTCTACAAAATTATTGAAAGCCGCAAATAGTTGAGACAATTGAGTGACCGCATATTTTTCCCAGCATTTATGATGGTGGTACGGTAACAAAATTCCTTTATAAATTAATAGATTATATGTTTTAATCATCACTGGTAAAAGAATTTTAAAAGTTATCACAAAAGCTAGTTTTCAAAAAAATTATTTGCTTGATGATCCATGTTTAATTAGTTGTATACTTGTATTAGATAAAAATGGACGATGGAGATAACCTTTCAAAAGTAGGGTTCACTTCAGTG